ATAGGTGTGTACGGCCGCACACCCACCTTCCAGCCGCACACTCTCTTTTAGGCAGCATACTTGCCCCTATATAAACGATAGCCCCCTTTCCTTTCATTCCTTTAACATCCTGGCAGCACACAACACCATTTCTCTCAAGCTTCTTCAACCGCAAACCCTCCAAAGGCTTCAAAAACGTGAGTAATCCATCCCTTAGCTTATTTTGCTTGATGAACCACTTAATCTAAGCCTAGAATCATTGAATTATGTCATGTTCTTCATCTCTTTGAATAAGTGCGGTAGCATACTCCTTGTGTGCGGAAGCATACTCCTGTGTCCGACCACATACACACCATAGGACCACAAACCCATTTCTAAGACCCTAAACTTGTACTACAACTATGTATCGACCTAGAACACTTCATGGATGAAAGTATGGACCTTGAAAACACCTCAAAGGCACCTTCCATCATGAGTGTACACCCATACAACCCTTGGGCCGCACACCCATGGCCACACACACATTTAAGGTGGCCATACACCTCCCTCATGCAATCCTTTAAGGTCCTAGCACTTAGTGTAAGTAGTCCCAAGTTCTTAGAGTGGTTCTCCATCACATTTAGTAGGGAAATACCTTCATTTGACTCTTTTATGTATGTCATTACATGTTAATTAGGATCAAACCGCATTCAAGGCCTCACTTGAACATTCCACATTCTGTATCGATCCTTCATTCAAATCGTCCGAGGTGAGTTCATACCCCTACGCTTTTTCCTAGTTTTTCATGTTTTCAGGGGGGATACAAGCAAAAGTACAAGGAAACTTGTGCTCAAAGTATATTATTTGTTTAATATAATTATTTGTTCAGTATGCTTTTAACACAGATAATATTTTTACCAAACGATTATGAAATCAACTCGTAGAAACAGTTTTCTAAACTAAAGCAATGAACTCGCGAATCATGCCGTAAAATGTGTTATTTTATAAAGGATTCATGCAAATCATAAATAGGATTTTCAGTATTATTACTTGTAAATTGTTAGTCTAAAGTTGGAGACACGTCCTTGGTAACACCCCCTAAGAATCACGGTGTAGGATTAGCATTTGTAACAAGAATATCTTGTAGGGGGAGCATGATTGTTGTGAATAGATCTACATAGGACTGACTATCATGCACCTTACTGCTAGCTACAGTTGGACCGACAGGCCCATGGGGGCAAATTCATAAAAAGACACTAGCCCCGTTACATTCCATATCAAGTCTAAGTATGGTTATAGCACTCGCAACCTAGATAACAGTTGTAATAATGAAACAGGTGAACTAACATGAAAGTAAGAACTTATTAGATTACTAAAAAGTATTAATAATACTCTTAGGATTTAGTTCACTACGTATTTATTAGTTTTATTCATTTAATAGGCCTAATACAACTCACAAGGAGCAAACATGGCTTTTCAAGAAAACTAAGTCTAACGATATAATATGGTAGATACTTGTACACCTCAGACTAGAGCAGATAACCAACTATCAACTTTTAGGAAAATATGGGATTTTCCCGGGATAGCTCGACTTTTCATAAACGGATTGTTTAACAAGTAACTAACGGACGTTCAAACATACGTTTTATAGGAAAATATAGGACTTTCTTGGGGAATACATTTCAAAGGATCAAAGAAACATTTTTCATCAAAACTAAATACGTATGAACTCACTAGCTTTTGTTTATACTCTTTTAAACTACTTGTATTCTCAGGGCAACAATAGATAGGTACTGTTGCTAACTTTTGCAGAAGACAGAGCATTTAGAGTCACGTCTTATACTTTTGTTATATACCATTATGTACAAACTATGTTTCCAGATAGATCTAGATAATCATATTGTAATGTAATAGTTGTGTTTACTTTTCTTGCTATGATACAAATTTTGTGATACTACGCATGAGGTCACCTGCCCCTAGATGTTTTCACCGTTGTTTTTCTGACAGTTTGGGGGTGTGACATGTATACTAGAAAAAACATAGATTCAAAGCATCTAGGGTTGCATGTACACCATAGAAGTGTTAGAATGCTCAAAACCCTTCAGTGGTATCAGATCCTAGGGTTGTTTTCCTATATAATTGATGATACATGCTCTAAAATCATTTTTTGTTGTCTGGATAGTGGACTCGTCGAGTCCACTGGGGGACTCGACGAGTCACCTCACAAATGTAACCAACTCGACGATTTGGTGGTCCAGAGTGCAGATTTTCGAGTTCTAAGGTTGGAATTGGACTATGATCATTACCTTAAATTGTTTTTTTAACTTATAAACTTGTTTTTGATGTGGTAATGATCATGTTTTGTATTAGTTATATGATTAGGCTAATTACATGAAATTTGTTTGATATGAATTGTCTTGTTCTTATGATTTTAATTTAGATCATTGACAAATTCTTTGATTTTGTAATTTACATTAGTTCATCTAAATGTTTTAAATGAAATCCATGACTTGTCCGCAAGTTATGGATAAATGAAAAGCCTTTCTTTATATAGTCATTAATACTCATAAGTTTTGGAAAAGTGAAGAGTCTTTTACATAAATGTTTTTATGAACTCCATAACTTTTCCTCAAGTTATGGATTTTCAAGAGTTTTTTCACTAAAACCTATATTAAACTCATAAGTTATGGATTCCAAAAGTTTTTGAATACTTTGAAACTTGTCCTTAAGTTTTGGGATTTGTAAATATAAAAGTCTGACTTTTGAAACATTTAATTCCAAACCCTACAATTTTAAAGTTTAAAATTGTACCCTTATACTATTATAATAATAGGTTTAATATATATATATATATATATATATATATATATATATATATATATATATATATATATATATATATATATATATATATATAAGAACAAAGTCAGTCTTACCGTTAGTAGGCCTCATTCACGCAACAGGTCTACAAGGGGGGTATAAGGTTACTCCCTATAAAATGATAGTTTAATGGGCGTCCTTTCTCAGCCACCGCATCCTTAACTGGTGGAGGGTCGTTAGTCGAACGGGTAGGATACAACATTAATTCTCATTATAAGTATAATTATAATTATAAACTAACTAAACTTTATTAAAATTCCCAATCATAGTTACTTAGGAAAAATGTGAATATGGTGCTAACCCATGAAATTACACTTTGCACCTTGTTAAGCCGTTAGTGGAGCATGTGTGGTTAACTGGCACACTAATTTGGACTGATAGTACGTGGAAAAGGGTAGCTTGATGTTACTCATAGATCAATAGAGCGTGTATGGTGAACCGGCACATTGATTAGGTGGTTGTAACATTGGGTGTAGCAAGCTAATTTGCATGGTTATTCACACCTTGTTTGTGATCCTCAGCATCTCAGTCACAAACTTGAAGGGAACAATCGAGATTTAAACATGCCTTTGACAAGTTCAATGAATCTCAAAGGATCTAGGAATTTCAATCCATTTAAAACATAATTATAAATTTGGTTTTTCATGGTGGAAATTGGTAAATCATCATTTACCTATTTTCAAATATTTTGCAAATTGGATTACGGCATCCCTTTTCCAAATTGTAAAATATTGTGTTGGTTCCTAGCCTTAATATTTCATTTGGGTGTTATATTAAGGACTTAAATCAACTAACTTGAATTTCTCCCTTGTAGATGTCTAGTTCGGACAACTATGGTCTTCCTAAATCTTTTGCAACAAGCTTTCCTCTTGAAGATGATGTCCCACGGTTGGATCATGGAAGTCATACTTCACTTCCTCCACATCTTCCAATAATTCTCCCTAACTCACAAGTTCAAAGAGTTGAAAATTTCAAGGTCACTCAAGCCCTACTTGCATTAAAACATCAAGATGGAAGGTCAGTGTCTACTCATGTCTTGGAGATGAAGTCACACATTGACAGACTGAGAATTTTGGGGGTCGTGTTCCCAAGGAAGTTAGCTATTGAATGGGTTCTTCAGTCACTTCCCGAGTCATATAGTGAGTTTGTTAAGGACTACTATGTGACAGACCACGACATGACCCTTATTGATCTTACGTATTTGCTTGTTGCTGTTGAATTCACTACTAGAAAAATAGCCTTTTACGACGCACAATGTGTGTTGTAAAATGCTCAGATGACGCGCAAATGCGCGTCAAGGAAGGCCCTGTCATAACAAGAGACGACACGCTTTTGTGTGTCGTCTATAGACGACGTGCAGTTACGACACCCATTTATGACGCGCGTTTATGACACGCAATGCGTATCAAGGAAGCCCCTGTCATAAAGGAAGATGCCACACATTTGCGTGTTGTAACCTTACGATGCACGTTTAGGACACGCATTGTGTATCATTAAATCCCCTGTCATAAATGAAGATGATGTGCATTTGCATGTCATAAACTTCAGCAACCATTTACGATATACATTTACAACGCGTCTTTACGATACTCATTTATGCATAATACAAAAATATGGAAAAAAATATATATATATAAAAACAATCAATTTCATCCATAACATCATGTCAAAAAATTGTAATACATTGGTATTAATGGGATCCAATTGTACATTGTTATTAAGAGGTTCTCCCTAACTATATACCCTAATACAACACTGCTATTAAGGAACACCTTCTTGTTTCTACTTCTTATTGTTATGATTCTGTTTCCACATGATACCTATTTTCATCATCAACACATTAGTATTCAAAAAGGTTTCAAGCATCATCAATCTATGTCATAAAATATTAAAATTTAATACATGTGTAGTAACATACCTTAAGAAAGAGAAAGAGTAGTTATGATCATTGATAGGCATAGGTTCCGATTCTGAATGAGTTGGAGTTGAAGTTTAAGTTGAATCTAGTGCTCGTTTCGTATCTTCCTAAAACAATTAATAAGTGTAATGAGCAGAAAAAAATAGGGTCGGGATAAAGCAAATTTCATGAGTGAATTAATACAACTTAAAATATAGAAGAGATTATTGAGTTGAAACTAAGAAGACTGGTGACAACACTAGGCTCATATAAGATTAATGGTGAAGGAGACATACAGATGAGTGTTAGCATCACCACCCAAGTTGCCCATTCCTCCATCATCCTCTATTTTCCAGAACGTGTTGCATGCACAACAACACCCGAATCCAATCTCATGAAAAAATTTTATTTGGTTGGATCAGATAAACCGATTGTTGTTGATGTTATTACCAGGTCCACATATCGTAGAGTCATGAGCGTATGTTCACATGATCGAACATTTGTTGTTGATCTCAACATCGATTCAACAGTAGAATTTCTATAAAAAAAATAATATAGAGTTAACAAAATTATAAAAAAAATACTTTTATAGAACTTAAAAGCTTTTTCTTTACCTGATTATGGAAATAATTAGGTGCAAAATATTGGTGCGTAGAACATATTCCATTCCATGGGTTATAATTATTAATGTTCACCACAAAGATTAAAAGTAAATTACCAAAAAGATTGGTTTTACCATGAAGTAAAAGGTTAAAAGTAACTTACCCAGGTGCATATGCGATAAGGAGAATTAATGATTCACCAAAAAGATTGTGTTCATCACGAAGTAATTGACCATCGTTTTGCAGATATGATAACATGTCTGCTATGCCCTGTTATCAGAAATTCAAAATAAAAAAATATCAAATATTATAATCACAAATATTATGAGACATGGGAGTTGAATTAATGAATTACCTTCATGTGGGGTAAAATATGGGTGTCAGTAGTTTTGGCCAACCGTATAAAGGTTGTGCAAATATGTAATCATGCATGTTTAGAAGTACTAGTTGCAGGATCCTGTATAAAAAAAGGCATGGTAAATAAGTAAATATTTAAATAAAGTATGTCAAACTGGATTTTTTATAAAGAAAAAATGAAAAGCACACCTTGACAGCTATTGGCAATGAGGTTAGGAGCTAAAAGAGTTTCTTGATTACACTTTCAACATCATCTGGATAATACTCCAAGAAGGGTACTAGTGCCTCTAAATAGTGCCCAAGAACCTCAACTAATTCAGGTTCACTCCATTTTAAAGAAATAAGTTGTTGAAGTAGACCTGAAGTTCATAGTGAATGGTAAGTTAAAAGATCTGAGAGTGTACAGACAGTAAAAAAGTATAAAAAAGAACCTTCTAGAATTCTGCAAGAAGAAACTTGAGCATTAGAAGCACTCCCATTCTCATCATTTTGACCATCAAAAACAACTCCCAAAACATTCCCCATAGCAACTTGCATGCTTTCTAGTATGGTTAAATTCTGAAATTTGAATTGAAAAAGGGAAAATGGTTATTTTCTAGATAGAAGGGTAAGATGGTCATTTTTTATAATCTAACCCGAGAAGGCAGTGGCGAAAGAAGACGGCTCTTAATGATCATACCGATTATGTATGTAACCTTAGTAATGGCTATAAGAGGTTTGAAAGAAGCAATAAGTCGAACCAATTCCAGCTGTACATTCCAAGAACTAAAAAAACAAAACAACAAAAGACTTTAGGAAAAACCTTCCATTATCGCCATCTAATGATTATAAAAAACAAAAAATGAGCATATTTCCCCCTTTCTGGCCATGCTTTTGGGTAGCTGCAGGTTAGTCTCAAGATGTGAATTTTGGTGAGTCTTGCATGGTAGAACCATAGCCACTTTACCCTTCTAAGATAGAAGGTCCAGCTCCTTTGCTACTTGTAGCTGGAACCTGAAAAGATGACATTAAAATTTATTGAAGCATAATCTAATTCAACATTCTTAACTAATAATTTGATTCTGAAGATTTTAATTTAGGTTGAATGTTTTGGATTCGAGTTTGTCATATCCATCTAATATAATGAAGAAGTGTGGATTCAATATAGGCGCAACCCTTCTGATCTTCCACGAACTACTGCATCTAAATCAATTAAGTACGTGAGAAGAGCACAAGAACCAAACTAAGTCAACAACACATCCAAAAAGGAAAAAGATGTTCTGACTTGATAATAATTACAAGTTATGATTACATATCTCATATTAGCCCCTTCAGATGCATCTTTTTTGAGGGATTTGGTCCCCATATGCGAATGGTTTGATGATCACTAGTTGATGCTAGAATTTGATGTCTCCTAGGATTCCAAGTCACACAGTTTACAGTCATTGAATGACCAGAAAGCACCTCAATTAGATCACAACCACTTCGATTCCAGATATACACCTGCTCTCACAATTATCAGAGAATAAACTTAAGGATAATGAATTGATGAAAGTTAGGGATAGTTAGTTAAATTCACAGGCAATAAAGGTGCTATTGACCCCACCAAAGCAAGAACGAATGATATATTTATGTTGCCTATGGACCTTATATCTCAAAGGCTTTTCCCATAACCCTTCAACATCCCACATATGAATATCTTGGCTATTAAGATTAACAATCAAATACTTGTTGTCACCAGAAACCGAAAGAGATGAAATAGGGTGTTCTTCAGAGATAACTCTTTCAGCATTTGTAGTCACATTTAGTATCCGAATAGCTTTATCTGAAAAAAATAGTAATCAGATATTCACCATTTGGAGTAACACCAATATCTAACACCTTTGGCATTCGTGTTCCTCTCCATGATTTAATCTCATTGCCTTCACAATCCCACATGCAGATACCTTTTTTAGGGTCTGAACTCCCACACATGAGTCTCTTTAAGTCTAAAAACTAAGCACACAAGCTAACAAGGAAGCTGTTATCACCAAATGTGTGCTTACATGTAGTCGTTTCCACATCCTAAAGCCTAAGGACTTCAGAGTTCCCACATGCCAACACCATTGTGTCATCGGGCTCTAGATTACAAAAGAAGTCGGGTTTTGTAACGCCTGTGTTTCTGGGCCTGTCATTAATGTTGATATAATAGTCTAGGTTAACCTTTGTAACCCGTTTTGAAATAATAGAAGTGTATTATTTGAGTATTATGTGTTTTGTTCTTAACTACTTAATTATGTGGTTTGATTAATTAAGAATAAAAATAAGCTTCAAAATTTAAGTGTAAAATAAACTTGATATCTTTGGATAATGTTGTAGTAGTTGAAACGAGGTTTCCGAAGATATAAAGAATGCCAAAATCCGAGTTATAACGAACAAATTATGACCTGTCGAAGTTTTGCGACAGAACCGGCAACGCTGAATGACGTAAAAAGTGAAATTTACGTTAGAGCGATATTTATCCTTAGTGATCTATACAAAAGTCGTAGAGTTCGTTAAATCGACAGCGTGCATAAAAAGAACGCCAAAATCTGACTTCGTATGATGAAGTTATGATTTATTGAAGTTTCGACTTAGCGGCATGCAGCCCGAAATACTCGATTTGAGATCGAGCGGTTTTTAGCAGAAGCAATCTAAACAAGAATCGAAGATCTCTTTGTTGGTATCGAAGCGATAAAAAGTTAGGCGAGAACGGACATCAAACGAAGAAGTTATGAATTTATAACGAAATTTTCTGTCCCGGCCTATTAAAAATAAATAATAAAAATAAATTCAAAATTAGCCGACGGAGTCTAAACGAAAGTTGTAGAGCGTAGTCTCACCTATGCATGGATATAAAGAACGTCGAAAACGGAGTTCGTATGAAGAAGATATGAATTTTCGAAGTTTATTAAATAATTAATAATTAAATTTAATTATTAAAACTGGCCTTATCCGAAGGGGAGTCACCGATCTGATCCGAAGTACGCCCCGCATACAGCGAAGCATGACACGCCTCGCACTCGAGTTCTTCGGATGACGCATGCAGTGACGAATTCGGAGGCTTACGCCCCGCGTACTCCGAGGCTCCAGCCTCCTATAAATAGGATGTGAGGCTGTCGAGTTCCTTTGCTATTTTTCTATCTTCTCTCTCCTGTTTTGCATCGTTTTGCGTGCCAAAAGTACTCCGAAGCCCCGGTAATATTCTCGAGCCCCGAATCTCTGTCCGCAAGAAGTTCGATTTTTGTAGAGATCTTCCAGATCTGCTGAGGATTACTACTTCTACATGCCGTAGTGTTGTCCGATCATCTTTTGATTAGGTGAGTGTGTAGTTACTTTCTTCTAACGCATAATTATGAAGTATTTTATACGAAATACGTGTTATGTGTATAATTTTGTGTGAATGTATATTCATTCTCTTCAATCTCATAGATCTGGTTTGTTTTCTATGAAATACGTGTTATGTGGGTGTGCCTCAACTGTTATGTGGAATATATATTGAATGAAAATGCTATATAGGTTTTAAACTATGTATAAAAATATATATTTTTATCTACTAATATGTTGGGTAGAACATGGGTAGATAGTTGGTGTGTAATAAACAGATGAGAGGCCTCGATGTTGTTGTTGACCAAGTTATTCAGCGGAGTATGGATAACGACCACAGACTCCTTCTAGATAGTCTTGTGGAACGCTAGCAGGTTCATAACCTGTAGGTGTTGTGAACGATGTGTTCACCGGTGTACTCTATCCCCCTCATGGTTGCCTTTAGGATATTTATTGTTGAGGAAACCCCTTAGCAGTGATGTCTGTCCCGATGAAAGTCCTAGATTAGGTCCCTTGAGATAGATGTTGTTTTAGGGATGTAAAGTGAGGATAACGGGAATGGGTAATTGGGATAGTGATTGGTTGGTGAAATTAAATATAAGTTATTTATTGTGGGTTGAAAACCCTATATGCTCAGCAGGCTCCCAAGCCTAACCCACTCAGTTTTATTTGTATTACAGGAAGTGGCGCAAGGGCGTAAGATGGATGAATCATCGAGTTGTTTTGTTTACAAGTCTGTATATGTATATATTTGCTGAATGACTTGTAATGTTATCGTTTATGCTTTATGGTCTGTATCGGAACATGACACCCCGAGTTTTGATTATATAATGAAAATGCATCTCTTGATGAAATGCTTTGATAAATATTATTTTATCATGTTTTGTTTTGGGAACAAATTCCGCAACACTTTTAAATCAAAAGGATTTACTCTGAAATTATTTTAAAAAGCATAAATGAAATCGGTCTTTTCTGGCCGTGATTTTAGGGATGTCACAGGTTTTGATGACTGGACAATCTATATTTCAAAATTAACTTCCCATCTTCTTGTATCTGTACCAAAACGTTCAAGAATATGATTTGGAAAAAAAATCATGCTTTTTCTATGGATTGTAACTTTGTAAGAAGTAAAGAAAACATGTTACATGGATATATAACTAATAAGTTATGCATATAATAAAAGCACCCACCTCCAAACTGATCATTAAATTTAGATTTCCCTAGATATAAGTCAAGATTCAAGAAAGTCATGATAGTTTGATTTCCCTCAAGACATGTGTTTGTGTGTGTGTGTGTGTGTATATATATATATATATATATATATGTCTTAACTGAAATGGAAGTTGGAGATAATCAAGCCACTATGAGACTAAGTGCCCAACTACCCTGTTGTGCATAGTTAAGAAGGTTAACTTCCCTGAACAATGGAATAGACAAGTGTTATGGATTTTAAAATCAGTCTCCTAATTCTGGTGCATGAAGAAAGAATCTACTTATGCATTCATATCTTATCCCATTTGATTACACTGCTTTTATATGTAACGTATAATTCAAAAAATATTCTAAGAATAGAACCTCTAGAGTATCGATTTTGTTAAGGACATAATAGTTACCTTCCATATAATTGTTGTACAATCACTTGATGAAGATGCTAAATAATCCCCATTTCTAGAGAACTGAACAAACCAAACTTCATTCTTGTGGTCAGACAGAATCTACAAGAATTTTCAAAGAGATTACGCCATTAAAAGATTAGCATGAACTATTTACAATTTGAACTAACACACCTGAATGGTTTTTGTAGGGATCTTATCCCTACCACAAAAATGATCCTTATAGATTAATACTGGATCCATAGAATTGTGGTAGATGCATGAATAAATTTTGGAACCAACCACCCTTTCAACCAGATGTTCCAATCTTCTATCAGGTACAGTGATTGGTGGTGGAAGCAATTTCTCCAATTCATTTACTAGATTCCTTCTCAGTTCTTGAAAAACATCACAATCATCATGAACTTTATCTAAACCAAGCTCCCCAAGTGAAAACAATCACCTATTCATTCATGCACCCACCCTTCTGAAGAGGTTGATCAACTACACCAGAAGTTTGGACATTTACCTCAATCATGTCCTCTAAAAACTTGGCCTTTTGATCTTTACATGGCACATGGCACCTTCCTGACATTTTGCTCGGAATATATTTCCATTGAAAAGCATTAAATTCAACTTTCTTTAAATTTACCTAAAGGGTTTAAGTTAGAAGCAGAGACAGTTACTCTTTCATTGTTATTGCACTTGTTACTGAAACAAGGATGTACTCTGTTAATACCTGCACAATTAATAGATCGTTATAGATCAGATGTTCCAGATTTTTTTTCTTTAAGAAGAAAGGAAATATATCATATTAATATATTACCATAAAAAAGGCAAGCATCCCCCAAAACTCATGAGGAAGCAACTCCTGATGATATGCCCTGAAGTGTCAAAATAGCTGCTACTTCTAAATTCCTCCCAAGGATCCAAAATAAGAGATAGCAAAGCTGTTAATAGAGCCATTACAGAGTGTAATATGTGGTGCTCAAGACTCAAGAGAGAAGGTTTAAGAATTGTACAATAGGTATTAAGGGACTCCATTCTTCTCCAAATTTTTTTTGGGTGAGTGACAACTGTTCCATATATAATTTTCGGTGTGTCACTCCCTAATGGTATTCTGCAACTAATATCATCCAAAATAACTGTGTTTCTACCACCCATCTGCATCACAATTTACTATTAGTTAGATAAATACTTCTACAAAAATGGTTATTGTATACACATTAAGGTGATGATTGTTTCTTTTCTACTTAAAACCATATTGGATGTTCATTCACTTCATTGATTCTTTCAAATCTCCCTTGCACATCAATTAATCAATGAACATCAATGATGATTCTTCCTCCAAATGGAGCCTAATCAGAACTTGGATCAAGGTTGATTTACCACCACATGTTCTACCAACAACACCGATATTTTGCCCCCCTTGAATCTAAGTAATCCCCTTGAGCACATTAGGCGTGTTTGGGAGATAGCTAACTTGTGCACAATCAAAGATTCATGTTCAAGTTAACAAATATGAATTGGAAACGTTCAATCTTGATGTTAAAATACATTGGTTACCTACAAGCAAGTCTCTGAGCTCCAAACTGCCATATGGCAACTTGGAGGAGGTGGGCCATCTTTCTTCATCCATTATGCTTCTGATGGTATGTTAGTGAACTGATTTATCCTTTCAACTGAAACCATCCTGTTTTCAACGAAGAAACTCATGTATAAAGACCAAAATAGCAAACCATTGAGCGATAATCCATATGAGAGTGACAATCCAATGCCCTCTGTGTTCAACTCATATAGTTGAGAATATACATAGTTGAATTACGTTACTCGGTAATATGGTAATGAAAACAGTGGACACACAAATAAATAAGCTTCCCACAAACTCCATACAAAACCTGAACCATCGATTTGACCAATTGTGGAAATTCATTCTTTGAGAAAAACCCTAGAGAACTAAAATACACGGGAGAAGAGAAAATAGATAGCAATGAAAACTTACAATGATTGAAATAGTTTTTTTGGGATTATTGACAAGTTTTTTAGTGTGTTGTGAAGGATGGGAGTTCTTAGGTCTCGGGGAATATCCAAATCACATACATAAACACAAATCATCGTAGTCGCTGGCGAGGAGAGGTGCGACTAAGATTGTCGGCTGAAGAGTTAAGGTGGGCGGAGGTCGCCGATCACATTATAGAGGAGTCATCATGAGGACTTGAGAGTCTTGATAGCTATAAGATTATGAGTGGCAGAAAGTTCTTGAAAAAAGCCCTAGCTTTGGTCACGATTTTGTTACAAGCATAAGAACGTGCAATTTTGTTATAAGTTAAGAACGTGCGTTTGAAAAATTATAAAGCGACACTTTAACACGATACCCATTTAAAAATGGGTGCCCTCCGTGTTTTAAATTTTTTTTATTGGACATTAATTTTAGGTCAAGCATAAATGCGCGTCCTCTATCCTTCAAATTTTGGAAAACTGACATTAATTTTTAAGGCACGCACAAATATGCGTCCTCTATTAGTGTGTGTCATTAATTGTGCGTCGTAAAAGGATGTTTTTCTAGTAGTGATCAACAATGATTTGGCGCACTGGAAAAGAAAATTTAATTGGAAGATCTACTTCTCAAACTTTTATGGATATTGACAATCGTAATATTGGAAGTCCATAAAAACTTTCTCTTCCCAATGGAAAGGGATCGACCATAGTCAACCCGGTTGACCAAATGGTAAAGGGAAAGGCTAATTCTGAGATTGTCCGTGTACTGTTCCCTAAGAGTCCATATGTTTCTATTGTCAAGAGAAAGGGCATTGGTTGGGAAGCTGCCTTGACTATCTGAAAGATCTGAGAGAAGGTAGAGTCAAAAAGTTTGACTCTGCTTCAGGTAAGTCTATTGTCTAACTCTATTACGTTCCTAATTGTTGATTCTTAATACATGATGTGACAAGGTTACGTTTCAATTTTTTGTAGGATCATGCAAAAGGAAGGAAGCTTAAAGGAAGAGTATGCTGAATCTAGTCGCGAAGATGGATTTCTATCTCATGGTTCGATGTTCAGATTTTTGAGTTGCTACTTAAGATTTATGATAGATTGCTTAGAAATATGTAGTAACGTAGTTTTCATTTGTAATTGCATTGTAAGGAAAAGTTTTTCCGCATTTTATAAATAAATAAATAAAAAATTTTATTTTTATATTATATTTCCTTGCAATGGCATTTGTGAAAAATTGATATTTGTATGTTTCTATATTAGCAATATGAATTTGATTCTTTCATTTGTGGTTGTGTCGAAATTTGCCAAATAAGGAAAGATTCTCATCACCCAAATTTTAGTTAGATAGAAACTTGGAATCATGCAACTTGTAGTGCATGATGAATGAGAACCTTCACCTTTGGGAAATTAAGACTAATTCCTTGATCACATGTATATGTGAGTCAAGTGAAGGACTAAGGGATCGAGTACACATTCTTGTGCACTAGTCAAGTTCCACCATAAAGAATGATAAGATTATTCTTCATGGTTTACTAAAGTTTAGTAAATATGGTTATGCTTACAAGTTTAAGTATAATTCTGAAACATTGGAAAAGTTTCAATGTATGGCAGAACGAATGAGAAGAATCAAAGTTAGAAAAAATATAAAAGTTTCTTCAATATGAAAAGATGGGAGAGTACTTTAGGATCGTGGTTTTTGATCATCTTAATGATTATGTAAACCATATCACAATTGATCCTCTAAGGTCATCTTAGTGCATTTCTATGACTAAGAAGAGGAATTGTGAATCTATAGAATGGTTAAATCAAAAAGGTGAATCATACTTCATTCCAAATCAAGTCTTAGAGTCATACTCTAAGATTGAGCCTTGAGTAGCATAATCTTAAGAAATGTTTATTATGGCATCCATTTTCATAATTTGAATTGTGAGAAATGGCAAAGGGTCTAAACATTTGAGACTTATTGTTGTAAGTTTTAAAACTGTTTAGACACACATGTGAGCTGTCTAAGGAAAGGTGTATGAGTTTGAGAAGCCTAGATAAAGTCTTATCGAAGCATCTCATATCAGAAATCTAAACTTTGGTAATGAAAATGAATAAGTATTGATTTCTAGAAGTCCAATGGATTTCTGGGTACATGTCAAAGTTAGTGGGAGCATAAGTGTTATGCTGGTAAAGATAATAATTATTATGCTAGTGGGAGCCTAATCAATTATGGTGAATGTTGCAAGTTAGCAATGTTAATTGTAGAAAAGGAAAATTTCAATTCGTAAAGTTGTGGATTTGAAGAGTTGTTTTGCTATAATTAAGGGAGAGGATTCATACTTCATTTCAATTCTAAAAGCTTAGATTGAGTTTTTAATCAAATTTAGTCATATATATATATATATATATATATATATATATATATATATATATATATATATATATGAACGTTATGTTGGAATGGTTCAACATAAGGAAATTCTATATAAGGAAATGTTAATTACGTTCTCAAAATTTGATTATATACGACATTCCTCTTCATAATCAGAATTATGAGAACATGGTATATAGAAATATTGTAGCAAAATACTAGTCAGGTATCATGTCTTTATGTTAGACATTATGAATCGTGTCCCATATGTTTCGGGTATAGGATTGATTGCATATGCTATAATATTCTCGTATTCTAAATTTTCCAAATTCCTAGAGCATCAAGAGGGGAAAAATGACTAGAACCGGTTATGACTAAAGTGATTAAGCAACTGTTAAGGACAATCTAAGGTTTATCAAGGATTGGTCACTTAAGGACGGTTGGAAGCATAGTAATGGATGACCATATTGACATTATTATAAATAGACAGGAGTCTATTAATAATGAGTTGTCGTATGGAAAATATGGAATGTTTCCATATTAGGAGTTGAAGAATAGATGTGTAAGATTAGGAAACTTAATACAAGAAGGATGTACAAAGGAATGTACTTTGAATTTGAAACTTCGTTTCCATGGAATTCATCTCCATTGGAATACTTTGTAATGTATATTGCCAAGTGTCTGTGACTTTTTTGGATAGTCATTACAAGACGATCATTGCATATAAGGTTAGAATCTAACATATTCTTGTAGTGACAAGAATTCAAAATTCTTACACTTGCAATAAGGATTTGGAATAGAGAAATGAGCATCATTGAAATGTTTTTCAATTGATCTATATCACAAAGTAAGGACCATAGACAAACATAGTGTGCATGCTTGAAGCGTGGGATAACTGTTGTTTAGAAAAACATAGTGTGCATGCTTGGAGCATGGCATAACTATTGTTTTAATTCAAGTATTAAGTTGATTATTTGAAACATTATACAATAAATAATGAGTAATCAATATGACTCAAAATTTTTGGGGCTATATAGGATTAGTATTATTCTTGTGTTTCACTTTGCATGTTTTGACTTCCCGAATAACTAGGTTATTCAAACCATCCACAGTTGATCATACTTTGGAAGTGGGTAATGAGGCAAGACTGTCATGAATGGGTATGTACTTTGTCTAGGTGTTTTATACATAGTTGTAGTGTTCATGAGTACTCCTGGAATAAGATTCGTGTATTGGATTCAACTCGCGCTCATCTGAATCACTTCATGGATTGTATCACGAGTGATTGTTGAGATGATAATATATTATATTCTTGAAACTAAGAGATATGAGTTGCAGTTTGCAAGTCGGTTGCACATTGATGATATGAAAACGCACCAGTAACTTAGTGTTATAAAACATATAATTGTGTATGATTCGATGAGTAGATAGAGCAAGAATATGAGTCGAAGTTTATCCATTCCTTTTACCATTGGAGGGATAAAAGCGATATATGTGGGCCCCTCAATAATTTAGCGATGACACGCCTAAGTGGTTGGCGAAGCCTGGACTGATTTGATTGGTTCAATTAGTCGATCGTCATTAATCGGACATCAGGAAACAACATATGGATAGAGAGAATGATTATAATCCATGTATCGGTCCATATGATATCTAGAATGGAGGAATATATGATCCTTTATCTAATGGACGTGTCATTGACTAGGTCAGAGTTCGACAACAGCTTTTAAGAGCTACGATTGCTAGTCGGGTTGGAGTCATGATTGAAATGATAGTTATTAGACTTATCCAAGTGGGTGACTGTTGGATTAGGTGTCTAAGCCCATAACTATTATTGGTATGTACTTGACCCGAGAGTAGCATGGTCCATTTGGGTTGCATATCACCTGGACAATTTGATAGGATGGACTTTTGAGAAGAGGTTGTTTATGATTTATTAATATATTATAAGTTCTAATATATTAATATGAAATCATATTATTTAATTAGTATTGATCAAGAATTAATTTGGAATTAATTTTGTGATCAAAATAGACTAATTAAATATAAGGGGTTGATTGGTAAATCATTAATTCTTATGGTGTGGGCCAATGATCAATGATTCCTTAGGTTGGGCTAAACCCATGTGACAACCCATCGATGATCCATGGAGGTTTAAACCCATGGATCCTAATGAATATGGAAGTTCATGGCTATTAAGGCTTACATGGTGTAGCCCTAATCTTGCCACACTATATAAGAAACCCCTTAGCATCCAAAAAAGTGCACTAGTGATCTTGGAGTCCATAAGC